GGCTCCTCCGTTCCTTCCGCCGCCTCCACACGGGCCTCCGAGCCACCGCGGAGCGGGCTGGGCCTGGCCGGGAGCGGGAAGGGGAAGGCTCGGCTCATCTCTCCCCTTGCTTGCAGCGAGAACGAGGAGCTGGAGGAGATCGCCTCGGCCGACCTGAAGTACCTGCTGCTGCCCGCCTTGCTGGGGGCCCTGACGCTGAAGCAGGTCGACCTGAGCAGGAGGCTGGAGCACCTGGAGAGCGCTCGGGCCCATTTCTGGCGCTTCCTCACGCTCTGCAGGAGCTACGGGCTGGGCAGCTTCCACCTGCCCCCCGCCAGCCCCCCGGGGGAGGAAGATGCCGGGAGCCCGTCCCCGGGGGGCCCTGCTGCTGCCCAGCCCAGCCTGGTGGCCATGGCATCGAGTAGGCAAGCCAAAATCGAAAGGTAGGCTCTTGCTTTGCGCTCTTTAAAGGCTTTTGGGAATCAGTTTAAGAGAAGGGGAGAGCCTCGGGCAGCACGAGATTGTACGGACAAGGGCTGTCAGGGAGGACATGGCAAAGAGGCCTCAACCACTTTTTTTAAAGTCGGGGAAGAACTGCTTCCCTTGATACTGGAATACTTTGACCATAAAGCATTCATTTTAAGTTATGCACCACGTAATATTTGATGGTGTTGGATTGTGCACAGACTGGGGAGGTGTATTTGTGCCTTTAGTTTCTGGTCTTTGAAGAAGAACTGCACGAAAGCTCCTATGATTAGTTCTTTAATCGCTGCTAACAGCGTAAAGCCACCCACATTGGAAGTTAGCTACCAATGTTCTTATCAAATCTTTAAAAAGTGGTTGATCCCTCTTTATCATGTTTTAGTTGGGGATTTTGACAATCAAGTTGTTGCTTATTATGGTAGCACCAAGAGGCCCAAACTGAGCTCAAGAGCTGTTTAAATTGCAAGAATACAAAAATATGATTTATATTCTAGACAGTAACCTAAACTGAGACGGGTTGGGGACACTAGAACACACGGGGGCCTTTGGGGTCAGCGCAGCAAAGCCTTTTCAGCACAGGCTGCTTGTCAGCGGTCTCAGGGCTGCACGTCATCTCCCAAGCGCGAGTGAGTTTTGTAGGTGCTGCAGTCAGGGCTTTGGTTACGAGTGAACTCCCCTCTCGCCGAGGGCTTGTGTTTGCCTGTACCGTGACTCCTGCTTGAAGAGCGACGGGAGTTGCCTGCATTGTGAGTTCTGTCGCAAGCAGGTTAGTACTTGATCAGGGTGAGGCATTGCAATTGCGTTTGCTTTCAGTAACACGCATGGACTGCGTGAAGCTGCCTTTAGCCTTGCTCTCTGAATGAGCACGCGCCGCGGCGTCCCCGGGAGCACGCTGGGATTGCAGCGGCCAACTGAAGAGAACTTATCCCGCTGTGGAGCATAAAGCCAGACGGGAATGGAGTGGTTTGCTTCCCTGCAGGACAGGGCTGGGCAGTCAGAAGCTCAGCCAGTTAAGATGTGGTTTTGGGGGTTCTCTGTGGAGCACTTGTGGGCGGGTTTGGTTTTTAGAACGACTCTTGTATGCTCCTTGTCCTTTCGGCTCCCGTAGGTTTCTAATCCTTGGTTCTTACTGTTTGTTATTGAGGCGGCACTATAACTGAAGGAAGTGGGACACACAGATTTAGCCTGGAAGTCTATTATATAGGTGGTTCCCCCCTTTAATAACTAATTCATGAAAAGGTCAAAAAATCCAGAAAGCCAAAATTATATTAAAAATCAACATGCACACACAAAAACACCCGAGGCAGAAATTGGAAAAGTGTTTTAATCTGCCTCTTAAGTGACTTCTTGATATCTTTGTGTCATATAGAAGCAACTCAAAATAACTATTATATTGGTTTTCTCAGTGAAGGAACTGATGAGTTAAAGTCCTGTTTAGGAGATTAGTGTTGCCAGACTTGCCTAATTTTACCTGGGAGGCTTAATTTTCAAGGATTGCTCAACTTCTAGGAGAAGAAAAAAATAATTGAGAGAGGCGCCTCTAAATTTAGACCGTCTACTTAAAGCTGCTTTTAACAGACAGGAGATACTTAAATTACAACACTAAACCATCACAACCTTCCTTTTTATATACAATTTTCTTTTTAAATAAGTGAAATCATATTAAACGACTGACAAGGAGTGGTAAAGATCCTGTGTAATGTCTAAATTTGAGTTGATGGATGGAAGTGATGGGGAAGGTGGGAGGAAAAGATTTTGGTGCTGCATATATGTATATAACCGTGCATTTTTAAAGCCTTTTTTAAGCAGATTGGAACTCTTCTGATTTCTGTAGTTTTCATTTGTCAAAAACCTGCTGTTGTCAGTCAGATGAAGGGGGGGAGATGGATCCCCCTGCTTGGCGTTTTGCCTCTTGCTTACGTGTCGTTAGAGGTCATCAGTAAATGACAACCGGTATGATCTGGTGCCACCAGTGCTCCTTCACTTTGTAAGGGTACATTCCTGTAAGTCACTGCTTTACATCTGCAGGACTCTTACTCAGTTCTTAAATGAGTGGGTTCTCCTCGCAGAAGGAAATTTGTCAAAGACATGAGGAGCTTTATGAATGTCTGGGATTTGCAGGCCCTGATGAGCGCTGGTCAGCAACTGTCACCTCTGAAAAGCAGTTCAAAAAGGATTGGGACAGGAGGTAGCTCTCTAACCACATTTGATTGAATTGCAAGAAATAGGAAATTGTTTATTTTAGAAAACACTGTGTCTAGGCTGTGTTAGAGAAGGGTTACTTAAATGATCTCATTGTAGAATCATAGAATCGTTTAGGTTGAAAAAGACCTTTAAAATCGAGTCCAACCATTAACCTAACACTGCCAAGTCCACCGCTAAACCATATCCCTAAGTGCCACGTCTACATGTCTTTTATATACTTCCAGGGATGGTGACTCAACAACTTCCCTGGTTCTCTCTTTTTTCCCTCTCTTTTTTTTTTTTTTTGGTTCTCTTTGAGACAGATATAAGCAGAAGAAAGAACTGGAGAACAGGTTGGCTTCTATGAGAACCTTTGTGGAGAGCGGGCAAGCAGATGAAGATCAGATACGGGAATTTTATGTACTACAAATCCAGAAATGGATCAACACCAGCCTTGAGGAAATTGAGAGTATTGACCAAGAAATGGTCATCCTGAGGAGCAGAGGTACAGCGAAACAGGTATGAGATCCCTCTTGCACTGCAGGTCCTGTGGACTGCAGATAGTTAGACCAGATGATAGACACTGTTGCAGGTAAATGAACCTCAGGGGAATTCAATAGCAGAGTTTCATAAGTTTTATTCCATGAATCCTCGATTGAAATTTAGCTCAATCACAGCACAAGCAGGTGGGGTTTGGTTTAATTCTGAACAGGTAGTAGTTTGATTTTTGGATTAGTCACTGTCCAGTGATACCACATGTTCTAGACAGTCATGGCTTGTGAAATGCTACAGCATTGAGTATCAGAGCTGAACCAGTCTGCGTGCAGAGGCTTTTCTGCACTGTACTGGGTTCTGCCAGACCCTGAACTCTAAAGAACTAAGTACATCTGTAAATTAAAAGATGACCCTTGTGATTTCTTTCAGACCTACGCTTCTGGCCTACCAAGTGTCCGGTTGTTAAAGAAACAAATGCCCATTCTGAAAGCTTCTTGTAGACCTGCAGTTCCTTTGCAGAATAGTGTTTCTGGGCTTTATGTTACTTGCCTAAAGTGCCTGTGTAGAAATAAAAACCCCTAATGTGCTGACACAGACCATAGGCTAGCTTTGTTGGCACAGCTGGTTCGTGCAGTTCATTGTTGGTGTTGCAGAACTCTGCTCTTCTGTAGTGCCCTGGGTGATATCATCGGGAATGATGAGCTCTACTTGCTTCAGAATGTACTGCGTTTGATCCCTGGGAAAAATAAGCTATATTTCATGCTTTGATCTGAGCTGATCTGGTTTAGCTCTGTCAGCTTTCTGCTTTGATCAGAGCGGGTGTAACAGAGGCACAGAGAGAAGTGATTTGTAGAAGCTCACAGATGGAGTTCATGATTTAAAGTGGATTAAGGCCTGAATTGTCCATCTTGGGATGTTGCTCTGACAGCAGAGGCATTTCTTTTCTACAAGACCTGCAATAACTTGTTGGGGGTGGGAAACAGAGAAGGGGATTCTCATCTACACGATTATCTTGTGACTGTTGTTTGCATCTTCAGTCTTCAGCACCACGACACGGTACTTCTCAGCAAGTCAGGGCTCCGTTGAAACCTTTCATTCTTACCCGGGATGCTGCTCAGGCTAAGTATGTTGTTTTCTAATTATTTAGACACAGTACGAGGCAGTGCTCTGTTCTCACATCAAGCCTAAGATACACTTTCAAATGCAGAAAACCAGTTGTTACCTTCAGGCAGCGTGTCGCATCAAGATGGCGTGTGTTGTGCATCCGGGCAGGGGATGGGGGGAACATCTAATGCATTTCTTGAACTTTCTCTGATTTCTTCTGTTGCCAGCATGCTGCAGTGTCTTGGCTAATGCTGTTTCCTCCTGTTGGGATGGCAGAAGAGATCGTGTTAAGCAAATATTACTGTGTTAGTTTATAGGCCACGTGCTTGCTGTTTGGTAAGCTGTGGAGAGGCGAGGCTTATCTGCCCCTCTAACCTCTATGTGCTATAGCAGGATTGTTCTTCACTGTTAAAATAAAAAGCCCAGCAGTGAAAAGCACATGTGGTCCTCTTAATCTAATGTAAACTCTGGAAGATTTCAGTGAATTCAAATAAGTGATCTTAGGGGCTGGGAAGATGTGATACCTACCAGAGAATCATCAGGCACGATAATACAGTTTTTAACTATAAGGCTTTCCCCAGGGTATCAAGACCTGAGCACTTTGTGGCACTGTCTGATTCTTGCAAGGAATATGGCAGCTAAAGCACAAAATGGGATAGGAGCCAGATTTCTTGTCATGCTTTTGACATTATTTGCCCTGAGCCTTCCATGTATCTATTTAGCTGAGCCGTGCCTAATTCCATTCCCAGGGGCCTCCTTGGCAAGCTGTGCTAGCACAGAGTGTTCTCCTTTGGACTGGAGAAGTGATTCAGGGTCTTTGGACTAGAACGGCCCTGACTTCTCCAAACGAGCAGGATGAACTCTTTAAAAAAATGCTGTCACGGCTGGGGCACTGGCAAGTCTCTTGCTGAAGGCCCGGGCTGTAGAGATACGTTTGTTCTCAAGCCCTCCTTGATAACATGCCTTATATTGTTGGTACAGATCGGATTAGGCAGTAGTTCCGCGCATGGCTGTCTATGTTGCCGCTCATTCATAGCGATGTAAAGTGCCACCTTTGGCTGTCTCTCTCTTCCTGTAGAGTGTTTGGTGCTGGATATCCCGGCCTGCCTACTATGACCGTGGATGACTGGTATGAGCAGCGCCGAAGGCAAGGAGTCGTGTCTGGTCAGAGCGCGCCTCAGCGAACACCAGGTACAGAGGGGGAAGGCAAAGATTGGGATAGAGAATTCCTCTTGAGGCAGAGGGTGAGTGGGGGTGTGTTCAGGGTGTAAAACACGCGCTGGCTGAGGAAGAGTAAGACCAGACTTCGTTAGGCTGTGCGAATAACTGCGTTGCTAGCGACCAGCTCCTGGCAGGGCTTCTGATTTGAGAACTTGCCTAGGGATCTTGCACTGCCTTACTGCCCCTCGCTCCTGTTCTTGCCCTTCAGCAGGTATAACCGATGAAGAGTTGCAGAAGCAGCAGCAGGAGAAAAAAGAGGAGGAGGATGATGAGGAAGCTCTTCAAAAAGCTCGCAACTGGGATGACTGGAAAGATACACACCCGAGAGGCTACGGCAACCGGCAGAATGTGGGCTGATGCTCTCGCTGCAGAGGGAGTGGGGCCTGGAAATCCTGTAAGAATTGCCTGTGTCCTGGAGATAGAGGAGTAAATACGCTGTACATATGCGGAGGTATCCATGGCTTCTCTGGGAGGCGCCGGAGTCGGAGGAGTAAACGTGACAGTTTGCTTTGGTTTACGTTACGTGTCAGACTGCGTGCACTGGTCATGTATGGTGCTGCCCCAGAGCTCCTGTCAGGTGGAGCTCTTTCTGAGGGGTCAGGCTGCCTCTGTTCTCCCAGTCAGAGGAAGTCCTTGAAAGAAAAGTACATGAATTTAGAAACTGCTCTTTGTATTGTGGGTGGATGTATTTATTTTTTTCCTCTCTATTTTAAGCAAAATAAAATCTCTTACGCTGCCTAGTTTTTGCTGTGAAAATCCCTTGCTCTTCCTCCTAGGCTCTTCCAGAGCAAGTCCGTAAGGCTGGTTTCCAGCAACCAAGGGAGTCGGGGATGGGAAATAGGCACTGTCAGATGACCAGTTTTTTGGGCCGGGGCTTCTGAATGCACCAGCTTGCCGTGCAGCGTTCACCTCAGCGGGGAGGTCTGTGTGCAGCCGGGTGTGCAGTGGCCTTTCCACAGGCTCATCCCGCTGGTCCTCCCCGAGTGGGCAGACTGAAGTGTTTGGGATTTTTTTTGTGTGTGAAGTAGATTGGGCGTTTCGAGGGCCATGTCTTGAAGTGCTGATACTACGCATAGTACAAATGCCTTCATAGAAACGTTTTGTCCTTTTGCTTAGCGTAATGGGGGGGCTGCGTGGCTGTAGCATACGTAACGCGCAACGCGTGTATGCCAGACCCTCTCGTGGGGCCAATGCTGGGACAAATGGTGCCGTATTCGAAAGTGAAGTAGTGCACAGGTTGTCAGCGTGCTTTGAAATCTATTTACAGAATAACCCTGAAGGGGTGAAAACCTTTTCTGGATTCCTCGGAAGCTCGTTTAAATAGCTGCTGGCACTAATCCTGAACTGCTTGAGAAGGGAGGGCATGGCTGGTCTGCCGTACCTGGCGCTGATGCGGCAGGCGTGTTGTTGGGGAAGAAAGCGAGGAATCACAGCTGGAAGCTCTGGAGTTGCCCAACGTGGGCTGGCAGCCGTGACTGCAGTTGTTCTAAACCTGTTACAAATGTTGGGATTAAAAAAAAAAAAAAAAAAAACAAACCCAAACAAAGCATCACTGCTACTTGTGTGCGTGGCAGCGTGTTACCTGGAGCAGGCCACAGGGCATTTCCCGTCCTTGATTTGGCGTGGCCGGGCTCATCAGCAGAGTGCTCCCCTACCTCAGGACAGTGGGATTCTGAAAGAATTTGGGGTTTTTTCCTTCCTATTAGCATGATTCAGGCACACCTAAGGGGCCAGCTAGGCTGCAGGAGAGCTTAGGTGAGTTTTAGGTAGCAATCTCAGCTCCTCTTACCGAACCTACATCTGTGAATGCTCTTGTGCCCTTTTTTCCAGATACGGAGTCTCTACAATCCGCAATGGCAGATTATGAGTTTTTGTGGGTTCCTGGGTTCCAAACCTCTCCTATGAAACATGTTTTTTACTTTAACAACGCATGCAACCCTATACATGTATTCATCCTTTTCGTACATCTGATGTTAGCCAGCTCTTCCTAGCGAGTGCTTCCGGAGAGGACAATCCTGAGAAGTAGCCCTAGTGAATCCTTTCCTGTGGATTTTCACTGTTCCTTTGGCTGTTGGCCTGAAGCCCCATCTCAGTGCTGCTTTTGTGATGCTCGTTTCCTTTTCTTCCTGTTTTTTTTTCCCCCCAGTCCTCTCCAGGCAGTACTGCAGTCCTCCTGGGCTAGCAGGCAGGGCTGGCTGACCCCGATGCCCCTCGTTGGGGTGGAAGAGGAGGGGATGGTGCTGGACACGCCGGGGCTGAGGGTCAGGGCCCGTCTGGCGGGCTGCGTTCCCATAGCGGGAGCTTCGGGATGATGTTTTCGGGCGGCTCTGGCGGGGAGTCACACCGGTAGAGCATGACAGCGGTTTGTGAAATACCCAAAGCGCGGACGGTACCATTCCCAGGGGAAGGCGGTCCCCGCCGAGCCGCTGCCAGTGCCGGCAGTGGTGCCTTTCCGAGGAGCGGCAGCTGCCCTTCTCGATGGCAGCTCCTCACCGCTCGCCGTGACTCCTCATCCTCGCAAGGACCATCAGCTCTTTTTGCTCTGCAAGCTGGGGTCGGAGCGGGTCCGCTCCCCTGCGCGGCGGACGGTTTACCTTGGATCAGCTGGTTAAAGCGGCTGGATACACAATCGCCCTCCGGTATTTCCAAACTCGCCTTTTAACCTGCTGAAACAGGAGGGTCTGGCGCAGAACTCCTTGCCACCATGAAAACAATTATTGCAGCCTGTTCCCAAAATCTTAGCGGTAAGATATTTCCAAAGCGTGTTTGAATGGTTTCTGATGCTCTGGCTATGCTAGGAACTGGTCGGGCAATTAGCGTTTGTTGTCACTATTGTCTATCTGCTTTAGACTGCTTAGGGGAAAGGGAGGTGTTCGGAGCAATTTGGGGTTAGCAGCACCAGAGGAAAACATACAGTTGCTCAACAGGAATGAAATTTCTGACAATGCATTCGCTAACGTTACTCCCGCAATATGCTCCAGAGTGCTGCAAATTCCCCTTCGTGTTTCCTTGCTGCCCTGGGCCACGGAGTCCAAATTTCTGGGTTTGAAGAGCGTTCTGTCGCCGTGGACGGGGCCGGCAGCAGAGCCCCTGGGGTTTCTCCATTTTTCTGTCTGTGGTCTGGACATCCATGGAGTGCTTGGGGGGGAGCTAGAAAAAGGAACTAAAAAAAGCAGCTGTTTGGTAGGGACAAAGTTGCTGGGCAGAGCTCTGCATCTTCCCTGGAGGAAAAAAAAAAAAAAAGGGGGGGCTTTGGAAAGTTGAGAACGGCAGGGCCATGCGGGCGGCAGGGCTTTTGGGGATGCCTCGCTGGGCGTGCGGGGACAGGCGGGAGGGATCGCTTAAAGCACGGCACGTTGCTTTGGGGAGAGAGAAGACAATTCTTCAGTGCTGGTGATGGCTCCAGCGTTTAATTTATTTCAGTTGTCCCATTCATGGGTTGGATTGAGCCGGGAAGAGTTGAACCTCCACCGGCCACCCGAACCGGGGTTTGGTGGTTCGCCTCCCACCCGAGGGTCCTGCTGGGGACCTCAGGGTCCCTGGCCCGGGGAGCCATGGGGACAGCTCTGCTCCTGTCTCATCCTGAGCATTTCTGTGGGGCCAGCATGCTGATTTGGGGTGGTTTTCCCAAGAAAACAAGGCTCTTGTGACACAAGAGGTAGCCGGGTGGTCTCAGCCACGGCAGACCTTTGGCTGGGAGCGGTGCGCTGGCGGGACCGGTGCCTCCGGACCCTTTCGGGGAGGAGGGATGGGGCGGTGCGTGGAGTTTGGATCCTGGCGCCCGGCCCGGGGTGGTTAATGGTTCACCAAGGTCAGCTGGAGGGAAGGGGGCGGCAGGGGGAGCGGAGCGGCCACGGGCTGCCGGACTGTCCCTCGTGGGAGGCAAGGCTCGGTAGGGACGG